GATGTCTGAGGCCCGATTAAAAAAAAAAAAGGGCTGCTATTGGCCGTCAGCATCGGGGCATTTTCACTAGTACAAGTACTCGTGAAGATGCCCTGTATCGGTCCCGATACTGATAGTATTGGTATCGGGACATCCCTAGTAGCCAGAGCTTACTTTTTTTTTTTAAACTTCCAGAGCCCATTTAAAATTTAGGCCAGAGATTTTTTTTTTTAACATAGTATAAAGTAAATACCGCTCTGGCTACCCCATGCTAAATGCTGCTGTACTGAAATTGCTGCCTGAAGATTCTTCAGAAACACCTGGTTCCCTCACCACCCTGCCCTAAGCACAGCGGAGGGGGGGGGACCAAGAATATGAGAGTCCAGGAAGTGATGGATCCTGAAAGAGTTCAGATTTATATAAATAACGGCAGCATGAGAGGTACTTACATTTTCTTTGCGAGGTGATTTACTTTTAGCCCTCATTCACACTAGAAAAGGCTGGCACATACAGCTCCATGCATGGCTGTATCGGGCAGCTCCTGGGAAGGACGTGTGATTAGTCAGCAGCTCCCGTCCGTCTCTATGAGACTATGTGGCCGTACGCCCCCCTATGCTCACCCCCCAGTGCAGGTCCGGTTGTCCTGGCTCAGCGCAGACAGGATCCATCTTGTCAGCGTATGAGTACAGACACCCGCACGGACATGTAAGGCGGCATAAGGCTGCGCGCTCCCATAGAGAAGGACGGGCTGCGTACTAATCACACGCAGCCCCTGTCCTTCCCGGGAGCTGCCCAATACGGCCGTGCACTGCGCTGTACGTTCCGGCCTTCTCTCGTGTGAATGAGGCCTTATTGTCGGTTTGATTTTAGTTACAGCGAGAGCTCGTTAAAAAGTAACAACACAAAATCCAAGACAGTCCAGAAGGTTTCATGGGTAAAAATATTTCATTGTTTAATGAGTCCGAATAATACAATACAAATATATACAGTGAATGGCGTTTGAAAACAAAGCCTGAATACCAATAAATAATGACGATTCATTAACCCATCGGTGACTGTGAATTTGGACTTCTGAGCTCAGGTTGCTGAAAACTGTTATAAGAGATTATATAAAGAGCGAATGCTCGCAGTACATGAAAAGAGGAGCGTCCATGCAGCGCAATGGGCGGCAGTCGTCTGAATATCCGCATAGTTCTCATGCTGACTAGGGTAATGTTCAGACCCAAAAGGTTCGTGTTCCGGATAAGAAAATAGAAACGGATTCTTCAGTGAGAAAGAAGACCATATTCCTTTAAAAGTCTCACTACACTAATGGCACAAAACACATTCTACAGCTACATGTCAATCAACCTGATAGAGGTTCATAGCCGGGGGGTGGGGGCTGACGGGTCTGATTTGGCCACTGAAATTCATTGAAGACTGTTCAGCTCCCCCCTCCAATGGCCGAAGCAAGTCCTTTATATGGTCCTTGGGCTTATGCAATAAAATAATGGAGGAGCAAAGCAGTCTGCACTGGGGTACCTTAAAGCTGAACCCCAGGCAGATATAAAAGGCACACATCAAGGCAGCTCTGTATCCCTTAATATTTCCTAAAAAGCACCTGGATTTGGCTTGGTGTCAGCACCTTGCAACAGCAGCACGCAGACTGGGGAAGGGAGGGAGGGGTATGATTGGGGAGCCAGTCAGGTGTGCTGTATGCAAATCTTTAAAAAAAAAACATGCTGATAGGAGCAGAGAGTAGGAAGAGCAGAGGAATGACCTCATCTGTCTGTTGCTGCTCTTTAAGCCCTCATTCACACTAGAAACGGCCAGCATGGACAACTCCGTGCTGCATGCACGGCCGTATCGGGCAGCTCCCAGGAAGGGCAGGCGCTGCGTGTGATTAGTACGCTTCTCTATGGGAGTATGTGGCCGTACGCGCCCCACCCACGTTCACTCCAAGTGCAGGTCCGTACGGGTGCATGTTTCCTGGCTTGGACACAGACAGGATCCATTCTGTCCGCACGGACGTGTAGAGCGGCATACGGCCGCATAGACCCATAGTGAAGGACGGGGCTGTGTACTAATCACACGCAGCACCTGTCCTTCCCGGGAGCTGCCCGATACAGCCGTGCACGCCGCACGGAGCTGTACATGCCGTCCGTTTCTGTGTGAATGAGGGCTAACCGATGGAGAGAGGACACCACTGTATTCCTTTACCAGTGGCTGTGCCGTGTGGCAGAGCTTTGTAAATCCCCGGACTGGAAGTATTTCATCTGTGTGTTCATCTGTTTGCCTGAAGTTCAGCTTTAAAGTAAACCCAAAAGATAAAATCTTCATCATGTTAATGTAACTTCAAACGTCAAATTTCTAAATCTGCAGCTTTCATTAAAAGAACACCTGCTGATGCCACCAAGAAGGCCCTCATTCAGGCACTTCCTGTTAAAGGGTGACAGCTTCCTGTTCCTCTAATTGTTCTCTTGCGTTGTCACCTGTCGCACGCGCTCTCACTGGAAACTACAAGGGGCCGCGCCAATGCACTTTGCACAGACACAGTCCACTGTTGTCACCTGCCGGAAACCCTCTCTGCAAAAGGATGTCCAGCAGTTGCATGGAGACAGGAAAAGGCTGCCGAGACGTAACAAAGGATTAAAAAAAAAAACTATTATATATTTTTTTAGATGGAATACACCGTGCGTGTGTGAATTCTGATTGGCTGCTGCACATGACTCCTCGCACCTTTTATTGTAGAAGCCTATTACTGGGAAGCGTAAATCGCTAAACTGTCTGAACCCCCCTAAAAATAATACCTATGTGTCTGAACTAGCTAAGGGGCCGACGTCTACAGGCTAGGTCAGAAAATGGAGAGGACGTCCACCTTCCGGGTCAAAGGAAAACTGGATTTTTGTGCTTTTCTGCTGCATATCAGCTTCTGGCGTGTTGAGTTCATCATCAGTCCACGCTGGAAGGAAATGACAACATGGTTCAAATAAAAGGAGAAATGTGAAACGTTTCTAAAATTGTCCATAGACGGTGAGTTGTGGTCCATCCAACCTGCCAACGTTCGTTCAACCTATAGGACGCATTCGCCGTGCTCTGTATATTGTATCGGCGCTTGGTCGGCTGCACTTCATACTCACAGTGCAACTTTGTCGTCCAGAAGCCTTTCCTAAACACATACAATGGTCCAGTCATCGTACACCGGCCCCAGAATTAATTGCATGGTATAATGTCCCATGATTGGTCACCTGACCATTCTTCTATGTGAATACGCAAATTAGTGTGTTTCTACAAAGCAAAGGAAAGGGCAACCAGACTAGTCACCCATAGCGAGCAGATGACCCGTACCAGTATACTGAGCCTTCATCTACGGGTCACTGCTCTTTTATTGAATAAGACAAAGCAAGTGGACAGTACCAGATGGCTTCCTAAAGGGTCCTTGTGTACCGTAGTAAAGACTGTCCCCTCCCCACCCCCCAGTCCCTCTCCCATCCCTGTGGACACATGGTCCACCAGTACCAGAGGGCTTCCTAAATGGTCCTTGTGTACCGTAGTAAAGACTGTCCCCTCCCCACCCCCCAGTCCCTCTCCCTTCCCTGTGGACACGTGGTCCACCAGTACCAGATGGCTTCCTAAAGGGTCCTTGTGTACCGTAGTAAAGACTGTCCCCTCCCCAGTCCCTCTCCCTTCCCTGTGGACACGTGGTCCACCAGTACCAGAGGGCTTCCAAAAGGGTCCTTGAGTACCGCAGTAAAGACAGTTCACAGGTCTTGTGGTTCGTTTGGTGACATCACACAGTTATTTGGTGGGAACGCAAAAAAAAACAACCCCAAAACAAATAGAACATTACCATTTAAAACAAAATATTAAAAGTGGCCTTTAAAATGTTGAGTATAAATTAATATTATGTAAATAAAAATGAATGCATAAATCGCATAAATAGAGATAAAACGCTTTCTAGTACCACAGAATGAAATGTAACAAAGTAAAAGAAACATTGCCGCCACCGCCGACTCGTCCGGTAACAGTGTGCCGTGAAACGACGTTCGGGTCGCGATTCAGCAACGCTTGGGGATTGCGGCGTCCGGTCTCTCCAGAAAAGCAGATGGTTTCCTCCGTGTCGGCAGACGCTCGGCTCCTCGTCCCCTTTTATGGGCACCGAATCTCCGTCTCCTTCTCACAGGTCGATTTTCCGTAAACTCATCCTGCTGAACGAATCCCTGAGGAACGGAGAATGAAGAATCCATCAGATGAGCTATAGATTAGGGATGCACTCATGCTTTGCTTTCGGTACTCATCGATACCGGTGCTTCCGCTGCCATGGAGCCAGATTCCCGGGCAATCTGATTGCCAGCGAAGATGGCTCCATGTTGCCTAAGCTGCTTGAGTGAGCTTGGCCGGGAAACCGGCTTCCCAGCCAATCAGGAGGCCCCGGGAGGTGGATTACTCCTCTCCGCCCAGCTTCCTGATCGCACAGGAAGCTGGCTCTATGTTCCGCTACGGCACTGCCGGTCAGAGGAAATCTTCCACTGACCGTAAGTTCCGGTATTGGGGAAGGTATCAGAGCATTTGGGCGAGTACGAGTACTCGGCCAAATACTCGGTATCGGTACCGATACTGGTATCGTTATCGGCGCATCCCTACTATATATGTTGGCCTATGTGACAAGACT